GGTAGTGCTGAAGTGAACATTTAATCCAGGAGGACAGAAACAGAGCTGACCATCCTCCACAATGGTCACTGAAGCCCCACAAATAGTTGAGACCACTTCATGGGAAGTGTGCAGAGAGAAGAGCCCTGGAATGCCAAAAGTTAAGGTTGGACAGAAAAGGAGAGCAGTTTACAAAAAGGCCTGAGAAGAAATCCAGGAAAGCATTATGAAATAAAGAGAGTAACGAGGAAAGAATGGCTACTAGGGCAGGGTGATGAAGCCAGATAAGAACCAAAGATGTTCACAGGATTCAGCTGCAAGGTGTGACTGTGGTAGTGGTGTGGCTGGCAAAAGCAAATTACGAGGAATCTGGGATATGGAAACCGGGCTGAGGATGGTCAGGGAGTAAGTGGTAGTCAAAAGCTGGGGCAGAAAGGGTAAATGTATGAATATTTTCATGAAGAGTTGCTTACAGGGTGGTGAGAAGACATGATTGCATGCAGATAATGTGCCAAGACCTATAACAATTGTTTATAGAAGGAATGGGAGCATAACAGAATGCGAAAGCATGGAACAGTCAGAAAAGACTTTATGGGGGAGAAAAAAAGTGTTGAATCTTGAAGTGGAAATTAGCTTATCATTCATCTAAGGAGGGAGGACTTTTCTGGGGGAAAAAAAAACAGCATGAATAAAGCAGGGAGGCAAGAGAAGGTGTGGGCATACTTAGGTTCTGTTTGACATCCTCCTTCGTAAACCCTTAATTTCAACCAGACTAGACTGTTCACTTGAATCCAGATTAGCAGCCTTTTATCACCTCCATATCTTTGTCTATAGTGTTCTCTTTATTCCAAATGCCCACCCCTGCAACAAACATCCAAGTTTTCCTCATTTCTTGAGGTCCAGAATGATCACTAGGACCTCCCAGAAGCTTGCATGAATGTTTTTCTTCTCCTCTAAATGAGAGCAATCCTTTGTCCCCTCCCCTTGGGAACTCTCATTGCACTATATTTGGAGATCTCTTATAGCATTGTAATGAAGCCTCATAATTACTGAAGGAACTATCCTTGCATCCAGGGACCATCTTTTTGTTGGGACTCATCTTGATATTACTCTCAGTACCCAACATAGGGCCTTACACTTAGCAGGTTCATTTGTGGTTTTCAAAGTGTGGTCTCAGAACCAGCAGCATTATCATGTCTGGGTAATTGTAAGAAACACTGATTCTCTGACTTCACCCACAACCTGTTAATCCACAACTTCTGCGGGTGTTACCAACAATCTGTGCTTAAGCAAGCCCTTGAATGATGCTTATGCAGCTAGTATTTGAGAACCACTGAGCTCCTGGAACACAAACATGAAACTATAGTTCCTTTATCAGTGTTTTTTCTTATTATATCTAAGAACACAGCTTTAAACCCATGCAACATATTCTCTGTATAAGAAAGTTGAGGAATTTATTAGCCAAGAAACTTGAGCAATAAAGAAATGGTATCCTTGTGTCCTGCAGGATTCCAGTCTCTGGTTTGAGTAACATCCAAGAACTAAATATCAAATGAATAGAGTTTGACCTTCCTGATGGCTGAATTCCATATTTTCCCTTGTCTTTCACTTTGCCCTTTGCTTTCATTTCTCCCCTTCCTTTCCCCACTTTTCATTTTCACATTTAAAGCTGTCCTTGTTTACATTCTCCTGATATTGTGCACTTTGGAGAAAAGAAGCTACAAAAGTCTTAATTAGTAAACCATATCCAAACAAACAGTTGCAATAAAACCCAAAGATTTTCCAACGAGTTCAAGTGGATTAGCCCAGACAATTTAGAATGAGTAGGGAAATGTTCCATTTTGCTCATATTCTTTCAGCAACCCTTTGCTTCAGAGACAGGATTTCAATCAGTGTAAAGAGACATCTTTTCTTGGAGTCTAATTCACTTCAAACCATTCTAGGCATACTTCCTGCTTGGTGAATTTCAGCATTTACTGAAATCTCAGTTTCCTGTGGTGTAGAAAGCTGCTCTGAATTTTTGCCAAGAAGTTCTGAGCTTTTGTGTCTCTTTGGCCCTAGGGGATAATCAGACAAGCTCTGGGCTGGGCAAAGGTGTCACAAAGATTCCCCAAATCAGCAGTGTCCTTAACAGGCAGCCTGCTCTTTGCTTAATGTCTAAGCACCTTCCCCACAAGTCCTAACACTTCTATCTTATTGTGAGTGACACGTATTTATGACATATATACGTAATATATATGTGTTATGTATACAGTGACATATATAAGTGCAGCACATATACCCCGTGTGTGTGTGTGTGTGTGTATATATGTATGTGCATGTATGTGTATGGGCACATAATGTGTACAAATGCATCTATGAAGAAGATTAGATGAGAAGAATTTCAATACCAAAAAAGCTATACAACTGAAAGCCTTTTTGATTCACTGTAATGAATGAACAAGATTCAGTCTAATAAAGACCACATAATATCTGTATATCATAACTGTGTGCATTTAAAACATTAAAAATGGAACTAAATATCTGACCACAGCATACAGAAGCACACTTTCATTTATAAAAACAATATTGTGGCACACATTTCATCATATAATGAGAACAATACACATCAGAATTGCATTTTATAATATATATATAAATACCAGTTAAGTCTCTTCTCAAATCTGCTAAGTATTAGGGGGAAGGAAAGCAGGAAATGTAGGAATTTGGAAGATAGATCTTCCAAGTCTTAAAAAAGTGAAAATATAAAAACTCTTTCTTCGAGATGTGTGTGTGTGTGTGTGTGTGTGTGTGTGTGTATATATATATATATATATAATATATATATAAAATCTGATATATATATATATATATATATATATATAATATACATTTGTGTATATATATATATATATATATTTTTTTTTTCCTCCCTAGTTCTGATGACTCTGTTCCAGGGAAGCATTGAATTGTAGGTCAACTTGAGTTTCAAGATGTGTAGTTACCCTTCAGTGTTTTACAGAGTCTCCTAAAATCTTTGCCATCTCCAGTTAGGTTAAGCTTATTGATCATTTGTTGGTTAAAGAAATAAGAGTCCTAGAAATGATGAGAAAGTGAGTTATGATTTCTTTCTGTCCCAGATCTATCATGGTTCACCTCTAAGAGATTATCTTGAAAAATGAGGTTCATGCATATTATTAGACATTGCTTTCAGTAACTTCATCCTTTGGGGACAAATTAATGCTAAAAGAAAGATACTCTGGTTCTAGCTCTCAAACTGTTGATGTCCAGATTATCATAAATTATATTTCACTATGGAAAGGGAAAAAATAGTCCTTTTAACAGAATCTAAGTTTTGAGAAAGAATTTTAATCTATGGAGACTGGATAAAGGATTGTGTTTAAGTCATTTGATGTGCCCAACTGGGTATCTGTTTTCTTCTCTGGCTTGGACTTATAAATATTTAAAATAGTGTTCCCTTCTAAGGACTACTGTCAGTTTTGGTGGACAAGGCCCATTTACAAATAACACATGGAAGTCTTTAAGGATGGGGAGGAAAAGCTGGGGAATTGGATGATACATTTTAATGTAAGAGGACCAGAAAACCAAGATTTTTAAAAATATTTTTAAATTATAGATGGATACAATATCTTTATTTTATTTGTTTATTTTTATGTGGTGCTGGGAATCAAACCCAGTGCCTTAGCCTCACGTATGCTGGGTAAGCACTCTACCACTAAGCCACAACCCCAGCCCCAGGGCTGTTTTTTTTTTTTAACCTGACAGTTTCCTAAGCAACTAGGCTCAGTTATCAAGAAAAACAAGCCCTTACCTACAAACCAGTTCTATTGAAGTGAAGCATTCCATCTCTTCATTTAATTCTGTGACTTTTGCAGATTTTCTGTCTCCTTTAAGGTTAGGGTAGGGAAAGGGGGATCCCCTAAGCCCCACTCTGAAGGGCACTTAAGGTTCACCAGTCCCACCCAGCCCTTTTGGTCCAGTCAGACCATGTGCTAGCATCACCCCAGTTGGCATTTTCCAGGCCATTCCTTTGTGTGCCCCCAGGTTCTGAGATCCCCACAGCCCAATTCTGCTCCAACAGGATCTTTCTACCCTCTCTGTCTTTTGGACTGCAGTATTTAACAAACAAACAAACAAACACAAAAAGCAATCTGTTTAACCAGATCTGGCTTACTGATTTAATTCTTCCTCTACTTGCAAAATAATTCAAACCAAAACTTAGAAATTCAACAGTTCAATCTTCTCTGGATGCCTTTATGAACAGAAATATATAGAAAATGTTGGGGAAAGACCCAACAGGAAATATCTGAAGACATGCAATTCCTGAGACATGAAGGAAGTGAATATTGCTAGGGTAATAATGGTCCTATGTAAAGGAAAAGACTTAACAATGGCTGTATTACCTGAGTGCTTCCTCTCTATGCAAGGCACTTAATGCAAGGCACTAAGCTACCCACCTGAGCTGAGTGTTTTTCATAGCTTATTTCATTTAATCCTCACCTAAGGTAAGTATTATTATTAAATCCTAATTTATAGACCAGGAAACTGAAGCTTAGTGAGCTTAAGTTACATGTTCAACATCACAGAACTAGTAAATGGTAGAGGCAAATTGAGAAAAGAAGCCAGCACACACTCTTTCTAGTAAGCTATATTCTTCTCCTAACTCAAAGATTGCCTCTTAGCAGTTTTCATTTAATTCTGAGTAGTGATTCTCAATCTTGGGCTATTTTGCCCCTCCTCTAGGGGACATTCTGCTATATCTGGGAACATTTTTGGTTTGTCTCAACTGACATGAGAGTGTTCCTGATGTCCTAGAAAGTAGAGACCAAGGATATTGCTAACTATGCAAAGCTCAGGATGGCCTCCCACAATAAAGAATTAATTATCTGTTCTAAAATGTCAACAGCACTGAGGTTGAAAAAGCTTGATTCAAGGGATCATGGATTTTTTTAAAGCCAATTCATAAATAGCAGGGGTTTTTGTCTATACCTCAATCATATGTACATTCTGTCCCCTCACAGATGACAGCAGCCTTCTGAATCTAACTCCCTACCCTCTGGTTAGAAGACGGAAGAGAAGGTTCTTTGGGCTGTGTTGTCTCGTCTCAAGCTAGGCTCTTCTTCTTCCTGAAGCCCACCACTGAAAACACCTGGAAAAAAAATTACAAAACCGGAGGACCTCCGGACAGCTGGACCACACAGTGATGGGTTTTTGACTATGTTTTCTATGCTTCCTTCTTATTACTTTTATCCGCCTCTCCCTACCCTTTTAAATGATTTTACACTTGAAAGCAGCTGCCTTCAAGAGAAAAAAAAAAAAAAAGAACAGAATCAAAAAGCAGGCTGTTTTTAAAAGGATTTTTAAAGCTGACATTGTGCATGTCTGCTCCAAACCATGCCATAACAGATGCAAGGATTATGATTTTTAAATCATTTAAAGGTTTTTTAAATGTATTATACAGAGAAAATTTATTTCACTTATAATAGTCTATCTATAGCTCTTGCTGATCTCAACAATTTATCATAAATGAAAAAAGTCTTTAAACATAGAAATTATTTAAAACTGCAAAACTGTGTTCAAATATTCAATCTATCCATATCATTAGAAATATTATAATCAAACATACACCACCTCACCTATTGCTTTCTCTGCACTCATTTAAGTTTAGTCTTCCATTCTGTCAGAATCTAAAAGCTTCAACATAAAAATATCTTAATTTATAATGCAACAAAAATCATATATGAAAAATATTTAATTTTGTAAATATACAATAATCCTAATAACTTCATACAATGCATATGGGCAACTAAGTTCCCTTTGATCCAATGGTGTCTTTTTCAGCTTCTTGGAGAATGAAGTTATCCAGTTAGGAAATGGTGTAGTAACATATACAATTACCCTCCAATGTAAAATTGAATATTATCACATTTCGTTCTAATTGAAATTTGAAGCATGGTGTCTGCACATCAGCATAGTGTTAAATCTTATAGGGCATGCTGGAATTAGCTCAGATCGTAAAAATATTTAACATTTTACATTATTAATAAAAAAATTTTAGTTAAGCTAAGCTTGTCTCATTTTATATGACTATGCAGATATGACTTTTCCAATGTGTACTTGGTGTCTTGTCTTATGCTTAGAATCTTGAAAGCAGGACACATTAAGCAATACTATATTTTAGAAAGGAGGAAGCCACATGCTTTGTTTATCTGCTCCAGACTTCATTGTGATCTTCCTCCACTAAACTTGTATCATGGTATAAATTTTGTTATATTTCCCCCTGCTCTTCCTTTGACCTATTTCCCACACAGAATTTCCTGTGGTTTGAAAGATCAAGTCTTTGCACTTCTTTTCTTGTTTCACATAGTCTGAACAATTGTCAAGTCAGAGAGGAAATACCAGGGTCCAGCACAATAGAAGAAGGAGCTAGATGCCTACAAGTGGTTTACCCAAGATACAACTTTAATCTCAATCCTGTATAGGCACTTATATATACACCAATACTGTGACCTAAAAACTAAATATAGTAAAGCTTTTAGCTTTCATGAAGATGAAGAGAGTAAATAATTATTCTATTAGGTTGAATTATATGAAATTGCTGGTATTTGACTGTTTTGACCTACAAAATAGCATTTTCATATAGTTCATTCTATTGGAATAGTCTTCTAGCTCCTTGTATTGAAAGAAAACAAAAGGATTAAAGGGTTGGAGGAGAACTCAAAAGGCTATGCAGGTCTCTATTTTGATTACACCAGCTATTTATTGACCTTATTCTTGGAGTCCAGAGTTGTGTTTCAAAGGACTGGTAATGAATATGGGGTTACAGATATTCTGGCCTTCCACAAACAGAAGTACCCCAGACAAGTCATACGAGAAAAATCACAATTTTCTTTGTTAAATAGTTGTAAAACACTGTGGGACCATGCTATTTAAAGACTCAGTTGAATACTTGCTTAGAAAGCAAGCAACCACTCCCAGACTCAGCTGGTCTGCCCACTTTGATTTTTACAAATCGATCTTGATTAAAGCTTAATATTTTTTTCCTGGATCTGGTTCATTTTCATCCCCTGAGCTTATTTTATTTAAAGGCCTGTTTTCAAAATTATGAGTAGCCCAAACTGGCATGCTCTCAGCTCCCATCTCTGCCCTCTCCCACCCTTTGACTATATTGACCTCTTAGCTTCAATCTTGTTCCTACTAATCCATGCAAAGCTACTAACTAATAAGTCCGACCTTGGTGTTCAGCACGTTCTTCTAAATGCCTGACCTAAATCACTTCTGCTTGGTTAATTTGTGCTCACTCTCGCCTTAGTCTCTGTGTGAAGTAACACTTACCTTCTGTGCAATTGTCCTTTGTACAGCTGAAGACTGTTAATAAATTCAGGTCTCACCTCCATGTCTGGGAAGGCTGTAGTAGCTACTCATGGAGATGGGAATTTGTCTAATTACTTAGCCAGACTTTCCATATCTAAGGTAATATATTCAGCCACCTTATCTTTTATTCATAGTGCCTGTTTTCCAGCCTTCGATCAGTTTTATAGTTCCTGTAGACACACTCCAAGATTTATAGATGTCCTTGCAGTAGCAGGTCCTAAAAATTACATTTAGTACTCAAAGTTCTGATAACCTACATTGGCTCCTAGCTGCAATAGGTAATTTACCATCTCCCATTAGATATGCCAGCACAACCTTTAAGAGCTACCCCTCTCTACTCTCACCTACCCAAGGACTTTCTCAGGTGTGGTCTCATGAGATAAAGTTCTGCTGTCTTGGCTTCTGCTAGTGATTTGCTTTGAGATTGGCAATAACATTGAGCTGATCTCAAGGGTAAGAAGAGAATTTTGAGCCTATTTTCTCATGTGTACCCACAAACTTGAAACAGAAAGGATGTAAATTTTTGTGGCACACACTCACTTATTTGACCACCATATTTGTAAATCCTATGTTGGTTTTACCCCCAGATTACAACAACAATATGTGTTCCTTGTGGGAAACCTGAAAAATACAACCTCATATAAGGAAAATAAAAATCACCGAAATTTCACCAAAATCTTTGCACTTAAAGCCCCCTGGATTTTAGATCAGTCAGGACACTGGGCCCAAAGACACTTTAGGATAAGATGAGTAAAATGCCTACAAGTCCAAGGTATCACTTTGAAAATCTCTCTGCTTATGTTTTCCGTGCATCTAGGTGCAGACTCATTGCAAAGAGAACTTTAGAAGTAGAACAGTCTGATGCCTCCTCAAGTGAATTAAAGCTCTTGGGGGAAATTCTGAATTCTGCCTGACCATTTTGTTCCTCTGAGCCCCTGTGAAAACTGTTGAGATGCTCAGTGTTTGGTAATACTGCCACCTACTGAAAGCTGGGCTTCAGAATGAGGGGAAATAAACAGAGTATAAAACCATAGGATTCATTTAAGAAAGGGAACAAACGGGGCCAGATTAATAATGATCCTGTCTGGAATTTCAGACTCTGAAAGTCTTGACATTGAAAGGATTAAGGCTGTCATACAGCTTAACTTCCTATCCCTCAACCCCATACTTCAGCAATGTTTATTACTGCTTGTGTTCTAGAATGTCACCAAAAGGAAAGCATTCAACCTTTAGGTAACTATAGGCAGACTAAGAAAAAGCAGTGGTACTAGTGGCCTCACTAGAATTAAACACACAGTCTACAATTAACCCAAGAACAAAAAAAAAAAATCAAGCACATTATAAATATAACATTTCAAATTTGAGAAAACATTGAATTATTAAACAACTTTTATTGGGATAACGGATTAGCCATTTATTGGGAGAAACATTAGAACTATACCTCATAACTTTCATCCAAATAAATTCTAAATTAAATAAAGATAAAAATGTTAAAGCACATAATTAAGTGTACAAAAGGATTAGCAGGCAACATGGATGAAGATGCTATTTTAGTGTGGAAAAAGACAAACAATCAAACAAACAAACAAAAAAGCCTTTCTAAGCATGATGCCAAAGGTAATAATTGTAAGAAAAAGATGGATGGATTGGACTGATTCAAAATCAAAAATTCCTTTGAAAAAACACCAAATTAAGAGAAAATATTATTTTTAATATATGAAACAGAGTCTATATCTCAAATATATACCAAGAGTTTAAATACCACTGCTTTAGGGAAGTTTTCATGGTTTATAATCCCCCATGCTTTTTTCACTATTGCTTGTTTAATTGTCTGGTTATCCTGCTAAACTGGAAGCAGAGATGACAGCAACCATAACTATTTTGCTTACTTTGTTTTCCCAACTACTAACACAGCTCTAGACACACAGAAAATACTGAAAACATTTATTGAGTGAGTTAATAATGAATGAATGACATGAGTGATATTTTATGACTCAAAAAAGAAGCAAACTTTCCAGTGGAAAATTGAAGTAAGGACACAAAGTGGCAATGTATCATAACTTAAAATAATAGTTGAACTACTATTAATAAAAAATGCAAATTAGTCTGACAAACTCCCTTTTACATCTCAGAAAGGCTGAGAGTTAAAGAATAAAGTTTCCAGGGACAACTAAGAAGTATGGAAATGAACATTCTCTTACAGTCAACAGGAGTGTAAATTGATTCAACCTTTCTGGAAAATATTTTGGCACTATATTTTTCCTGTATGCCCAGTAATTCCATGTTAGGGGAATTTTCCTTTAACATTTTCAGCAAAAAAAAAAGGAGTAAAGATGCATTTATTCATTATACAAATATATGCAAGAAAAGACGTTTATAGCAGCATTATTGGAGAAGTAGGAAAATGTAAATAAGCCTACATTATATGGTTGGTTGAATAAAGTACCTCATCCAATGGAATTCTGTGCATCAATAAAGAATAAGCTCTATGTATATGTATTGAAATGTACAGGTTAGATTATGAAATAAATAAAGGGAAGTTGCAGAAGAATACCATATGATCCCTTTTAAAAACATACATACATATGTGTGCATTGGAGTCTGAAAGGATGCTTGCCAAAGGATAACAGAATTTATCTCTGGGAGGTGAGATTTGGAGCAGTTATATTTTCTTTTTTGCATATCTGTAATTTCTAATTTTTTCACATGAGCATGTAGTATCTGTATAATTTTTTCAGGGAATAAACAATGATGTTCACAATATATATTAAATGAAAAACATGTTATAAAACAGTATGTATACTATGATATAATATTTGTAAAAAGAAAATTATATATAAATATATCCATGTATGTATATATATATATATATATGCATAAGCAAGCTAGAAGGACACACATTACAATGTTAATAGCAGTTATCGATGGGTAGTGGGATTATGGGTGATTATTTTTTCTTTTGCTTTTCTGTGTTTTCTAATTTTTTCTACAATGAACATGTATTACTTGTGTAATAAAGACTAATAATAAAAGTTTTAAAAATATGTAAAAGTGAGAGACATTATGACTCACCACTTCTCCTACCCCATCCTACCCCTTACTTGGCTTATTCCATGTTATTAAATTGTAAGCAGAGGGATGTGGAGAGGAAATGCCAGGGCACCAGATTGAAGATAAAAGAGAAAGAGGAGTGGGAGGAAACAAGGAGGGGAAAATGGAGCGAGACAGGAAGGAAGGAAGGAAGGAAGGAAGGAAGGAAGGAGAAAAAAACTATTAAGTTAATGAGAACAAAAACAGGCTTTGGAAACTTTTTTTACTAACAATAGCAAAAAATTTTAAATAACGTTCATTTGAGAGCTTCATCAAGAAAAAAAATACATAGTGAAGAAATATTATTTAGTAATAAAAGGGTGCACACACACATCTGTAGAGACATCTAAGAATTAAATTCTGATAGAAGGTAACCCACAAATCTACTTGATAGTAAATACTTAGTGCAGTTGCTGTCAAAGGCTGTGCTGTGCAAGTTAGAGTTACACAGTCCTGATCTCAGATATGCTCAAACCAAGTACCTGGCTATGGCTGGCTATTTCAGTACTCATTATCTCCTTTTTTTGTCTTTAGTAATAAAGACCCTAAGTATCAGGGACATATGGCCATCTAAAGTAAAGACTTTGTTTCTCAAGCTCCTTTGGAGGTGGGTGTGGCTATAAAACTAATTTTGACCAAAGGTATATGAGTGAAAGTGTGCAATTCCCAGGTAACATCCTTGAAACAGGGAGTGTGCATCCCATGTTCTTCTTTCCTTCCCTTTAGACTACAATGAGAACAAGAGTGTAAAAGCTGAAGCAACCATGTCAGACCCAGAAATGCAATCACATGTGGTTAGCAGAAGTTCCTTAGAAGGCCTGGGTCATCAATTTCCATTATATTAAATATGGAAACCATTCCATCAATCAAATCACTTCTATCTTGTTTAAAGCATTAGTAGGGTGAATCCTTGTATAGAAGAACCTATTCCTGAATTAATTAGCTTCTCTAAATTTCGATTTCTTAATGGGAAAAAAAGGAGGACTATAATCACATCATCACAAGAGATTCAACCAAATAATTTTCTAATAACTCATTTCAAACACAAACTCCTTTATGAGGAAAGCCAAACAACTAAAACATTATAGGTACTGTGTTGGAGAACAGCAGAAGAAAGGGGAAACTTTTCAAAACACTTTTAAATTGTGTTTTGAATCAAATATGCAATTTATTTCCATATGGAAAAGAAACTAAACTTGAGTCCTGTCTCAAACCATACATAAAAAAACAATTCTAAACAAAAAAAATTCCAAGTTGATAACTATATTAGTCAGCTTTCTATCATTGGGACCAAAATATCTGACAAGAACAAATTGGAGTGGAATGAATTTGACATAACTTTCCGATGTGTGTGTGTATGTATGTATGTATGTATATATGTATTGTCATATATATATCATCAAATACATATACAAGAAAGTAATTTTTTTAAAAAACATGGATAAATGGCAGAAAGATCAATAGATGGAAAGGAGCAGAAGGATGGGGAAAGGAAAGGAGAAGTAAAGGTACTAAGGACCAAATTAGAACAAGATATATTTTCCATGCTTTTATAATTATATTAAAATGGGTTCTACTGTTAAGTATAACTAAATAGAACCAATTAACAAAAAACAAACTAGAGGAGGAAAGGTTTATTTTGTCTCACAGTTTCAGAGCTTTCAGTCCATTGGTCAGAAAGAACATCATGGCAGAAGGGCATGGAGAGGAAAGATGCTCAGCTCATGGTAGCTGGGAAGCAGAGGAGGGCAGCTGGGACAAGATATAGTCCCCAAGAACACATACACATCTGTGATCTAATTTTTCCAACCATGTCCCACCTGCTTACAGTTTCTACCACATCCCAATATCCATTCAGCTTTCAGTGGATTAATACACTGATGAAGTCAGAGCTGTTATGATCTAATCACTTCCTAAATGCCTCACTTCTAAACTGCATTGAAAACCAAACTCTCAAAATATGAATTTTGGGGGGACACTTCATATCCAAACCATAATAATTTGTGATATAAAGGTAAAAAGGAGAGCAATAAAGCTTCCAGAAGATTATATAGGAGACTATATTCATATCTGTAGAGTTAAAAATAGTTCCTACCAGGACACAAACTGCCTTGGAAAAGTGTTTAACATTATCTAATATCATAGAATATATAGAACTATGATTTAGTAATTTCACTCTTGGGTAGAAATCCAAAAGAAATATATATGTGTGTGTATTAAAAGACAGGTAAAAGAATGTCCACAGGCATTTGTAATAGTTTATAACTATTGTAACTATTTGTAATTAGTTAAAAACTATAGACAATTCAAAGATTCATCAATAGAATGTATAACAAATAAATTGTGATATATTCCAGCAATCAGATGCTGCACAGCAGTAAGAACTTTACTGTAGCTACGTATAACCACATTATAATGGGATATACCCATTATAATGTTGAATGGACAAAAGTTAAATGCAAAAGCACGCATACTGCTCTTAGCAACCATCATCTGCAGCAGCTGGAAGAAGGACACCATGGCCCTATACATCGGCTGCAGTTCATCCTTTGCACAGCTCAGATTAACTTCACACAGTAAGTTTACTCCATGTGGGAACAGCTTCTTTGGCATTCTGTTGTCACAATTCCTGGGGACATCTACCAAAAGAGGACAAATCAAAGCCTCAAATTTTGCAGTTGGTAACAAGAT